CATAACATTCCACTTCTTTCCCTTAAAAAACTCTTTGGTTGCTTTTGCAGTCTGCTTTGGTCATTGTCCATCTGCACTGTGAAGCGGCGTCCAATGAATTCTGAAAGCATTTGGCTGATATATGAGCAGATAATATTCCCAAAACACTTCAGAATTCATCCTGCTGCTTTTGTCAGCAGTCACATCATCAATAAATACAAGAGAACCAGTTCCATTGGCAGCCATACATGCCCACGTTTCCCAATACTGCCATGACACTACCACCACCATGCTTCACTGATGAGGTGGGTATGTTTAGGATCATGAGCAGTTCCTTTCCTTCTCCATACTCTTCTCTTCCCATCACTCCCTGGTACAAGTTGATCTTGGTCTCATCTGTCCATAGGCTGTTGTTCCAGAACTCTGAAGGCTTTTTTAGATGTCGTTTGGCAAACTCTAATCTGGCCTTCCTGTTTTTTGAGGCTCACCAATGGTTTACATCTTGTGGTGAACCCTCTGTATTCACTCTGGTGAAGTCTTCTCTTGATTGTTGACTTTTGACACACATACACCTACCTCCTGGAGAGTGTTCTTGATCTGGCCAACTGTTGTGAAGGTGTTTTCTTCACCAGGGAAAGAATTCTTCCGTCATCCACCACAGTTGTTTTCCATGGTCTTCGGGGGGGGGGTCTTTTGGTGTTGCTTGAGCTCACTGGTGCGTTCCTTCTTTTTGAGAATGTTCCAAACAGTTGTTTTGGCCACGCCTAATGTTTTTGCTATCTCTCTGATGGTTTGTTTTTGTTTTTTCAGCCTAATGATGGCTTGCTTCACTAATAGTGACAGCTCTTTGGATCTCATCTTGAGAGTTGACAGCAACAGATTCCAAATGCAAATAGCACACTTGAAATGAACTCTGGACCTTTTATCTGCTCATTGTAATTGGGATAATGAGGGAATAACACACACCTGGCCATGGAACAGCTGAAAAGCCAATTGTCCCATTACTTCTGGTCCCTTAACAAGTGGGAGGCACATATGCAAACTGTTGTAATCCCTACACCGTTCACCTGATTTGGATGTAAATACCCTCAAATTAAAGCTGACAGTCTGCAGTTAAAGCAGATCTTGTTCGTTTCATTTCAAATCCATTGTGGTGGTGTATAGAGCCAAAAATGTTAAAATTTTAGAATTGTGTCAATGTCCCAATATTTATGGACCTGACTGTATATATCAATTTTTTTTTTTCATACTGTCACCAGTCAGTGTCCCTGATCACCGCCATGGCAGTTATATGAAGACGCTGTACTGCACTGGTGACAGTATGTAAAAAAAAAAAATAGTGAAAATGATTTTTTTTATTTCATTTCCGAAAAAATTATGACAAAAATTACAACTTCAAAAACCGTCAAAAACCTCGCCATGCCTCTTATGAAATACGTCGGACTGTCTACTCTGCAAAAAAGGGGTCATTTGGGTGATATCTGTGCTGTGCTGACGTTTGGGGGGATATCTGCACCGTCCTGACGTTTGGGGGGATATCTGCACCGTCCCTGACGTTTGGGGGGATATCTGCACCGTCCTGACGTTTGGGGGGATATCTGCACCGTCCTGACGTTTGGGGGGGATATCTGCACCGTGCTGACGTTTGGGGGGATATCTGCACCGTGCTGACGTTTGGGGGGATATCTGCACCGTGCTGACATTTGGGGGATATCTGTACTGTCCTGACATTTGGGGGATATCTGTACTGTTCTGACATTCTTGGACCTCAAGAAATTAGATTGGCTGTCAGTACTTCAGGATTGATCAATATTCAGATCTATCCCATAGTTTGTGAACTATAACTTTCCTACAAACGAAATAATACATCCTAATTTGGGTTATTTTCACCAAAGACATGTAGCAGAATACATCTCGGCCTAAATTTATGAAGAACAATTATTTATTTGCAAACTTTTATATCAGAAAACAAAGAAACCCTTTTTTTGTTCAAAATTTTTGGTCCTTTTTTGTTAATTCAGCAAAAAATAAAAAACCCCGGCAGTGATTAAATACCACCAAAAGAAAGCTCTAGTTGTGTGAACAAAATGATAAAATTTTAGTTTGGGTACAATGTTGTATGACCGCGCAATTGTCATTCAAAGTGTGAGAGCGCTGAAACCTGAAGATTGGCCTGGGCAGGAAGGGGGTAAACGTGCCCGGTATTGAAGGGGTTAAGGTCCCTAACTCACACTCATACATACACATACTAGGGCCAATTCAGACAGGAGACAATTAACCTACCAGAATGTAGGTTAATGTGGCAGGAAACCAGAGAACCCAGAGGAAACACATGCAGGCACAGGGAAAACAGGCAAACTCCAGGCAGGTGGTGCCTTGGCTGGGATTCAAAACCAACGACTCGAATACTGCCAGGCAGAAGTGCTGCATGCCATCCCATCCATCCATGTCATCCATCATTGCCATCCCATCCATGTCATCCATCATTGCCATCCCATCCATCATTGCCATCCCATCCATCCATGTCATCCCTCCATGTCATCCATCATTGCCATCCCATCCATCCATGTCATCCCTCCATGTCATCCATCATTGCCATCCCATCCATGTCATCCATCATTGCCATCCCATCCCTCCATGTCATCCATCATTGCCATCCCATCCATCCATGTCATCTATCATTGCCATCCCATCCATCCATGTCATCCATCATTGCCATCTCATCCATCCATGTCATCCATCATTGCCATCCCATCCATGTCATCCATCATTGCCATCCCATCCATCCATGTCATCCCTCCATGTCATCCATCATTGCCATCCCATCCATGTCATCCATCATTGCCATCCCATCCATCCATGTCATCCATCATTGCCATCCCATCCCTCCATGTCATCCATCATTGCCATCCCATCCATCCATGTCATCCATCATTGCCATCTCATCCATCCATGTCATCCATCATTGCCATCTCATCCATCCATGTCATCCATCATTGCCATCCCATCCATCCATGTCATCCATCATTGCCATCCCATCCTTCCATGTCATCCATCATTGCCATCCCATCCATCCATGACATCCATCATTGCCATCCCATCCCTCCATCTCATCCATCATTGCCATCCCATCCATCCATGACATCCATCATTGCCATCCCATCCATCCATGTCATCCATCATTGCCATCCCATCCATCCATGTCATCCATCATTGCCATCCCATCCATGTCATCCCTCCATGTCATCCATCATTGCCATCCCATCCATCCATGTCATCCATCATTGCCATCCCATCCCTCCATGTCATCTATCATTGCCATCCCATCCCCATGTCATCCATCATTGCCATCCCATCCATCCATCCATCATTGCCATCCGCCATCCATCCATCCATCATTGCCATCCCATGTCATCCCTCCATGTCATCTATCATTGCCATCCCATCCCTCCATGTCATCCATCATTGCCATCCCATCCATCCATGTCATCCATCATTGCCATCCCATCCATCCATGTCATCCCTCCATGTCATCCATCATTGCCATCCCCATCCATGTCATCCCTCCATGTCATCCATCATTGCCATCCCATCCATCCATCCATCATTGCCATCCCATGTCATCCCTCCATGTCATCTATCATTGCCATCCCATCCCTCCATGTCATCCATCATTGCCATCCCATCCCTCCATGTCATCCATCATTGTCATCCTAGTCATGGCTTTGAATCCATTCCTATCCATCCCATGTAACCCCTCCATGACATCCTATCCCATCCATCCATGTAACCCCTCCATGACATCCTATCCCATCCATCCATGTAACCCCTCCATGCAAGCCCAGGAGATAGGGATGACCGTGTACCAGAAAATCAAGGAAACTGATGCCGATAAGAGGCGCCCGCCCCCTCCCGGGTGAGAAGGGCAATGCTCCGGCTCCAGGTGACTTTCCCCGGACCAGCACGTGTGTACATGTGTAGGTGACTGAACACCGGGGATCCCGGCTCTCCTCCCGTCAGTAGGGAACACCCGAGTAGGATGCTTTGCGGACACACCCTCCCCCTTCCGAAGCCGGCCGTTACCATGGAAACCTCCCCTCCACCACACCCTGGTCCAGTCAGCCACTCCGAGCCAGGCTGCCCGGGAAGGAGCGGGGTCTCGGTTGGTCTGACACTCACCGCTTGGTCGCTCTGTCCTCCTCCCATAGCCGCTGACAGGGTGCTATTACTTTCCGATCCTATTGTCAGCCCTGCCGGTGGAGTCAGAGGGTTTTCTACTTTAAGTTTCTGAATTCTAGGCGCTGGATGTAGCCGGTCTGGTCAGCACTGTCACCGCCCCCATTCCGCCCAACTTCCCGACATGGAATCGAAGGACACCTATTGGCAGAAGTATGTATAGCATAGGACACGCCCCCCGCCACACCCTCAAACGATAATTGTGCCAAAAAAAAAGATTGTTAACCCCTCGCCTACCGGACACTGTCCCCCCTTCCTGCCCAGGTCATTGTTCAGGTTTTTCAGCGCTCTCACACTTTGAATGACAATTGCGCGGTCATACAGCATTGTACACAAACTACAATTTTATCATTTTCTTCACACAGCTAGAGCTTTCTTTTGGTGGTATTTATCACCGCTGGGGTTTTTATATTTTTTGCTAAATTAACAAAAAAATGGCTGCAAAAAAAATGTCTGAAAAACACGTTTTTCTTTGTTTCTATTATAAAAGTTTGCAAATAATTGTTGTTCATAAATTTAGGCCGAGATGTATTCTGCTACATGTCTTTGGTGACAATAACCCAAATCAGTATTTATTATTTAGTTTGTAGGAAAGTTATAGAGTTCACAAACTATGGTATAGATCTGAAAATTGATCAATCCTGAAGTACTGACAGCCAATCTAAATGTCTAAAGGCCCAAATGTCAGGACAGTATAGATATCCCCCAAATGTCAGAACGGTACAGATATCCCCCAAATGTCAGAACGGTACAGATATCCCCCAAATGTCAGAACGGTACAGATATCCCCCAAATGTCAGAACGGTACAGATATCCCCCAAATGTCAGAACGGTACAGATATCCCCCAAATGTCAGAACGGTACAGATATCCCCCAAATGTCAGAACGGTACAGATATCCCCCAAATGTCAGGACGGTACAGATATCCCCCAAATGTCAGAACAGGACAGATATCCCCCCAAATGTCAGAACAGTACAGATATCCCCCAAATGTCAGGACGGTACAGATATCCCCCAAATGTCAGGACGGCACACAAATATCCCCCAAATGTCAGGACAGTACAGATATCCCCCAAATGTCAGGACAGTACAGATATCCCCCAAATGTCAGGACGGCACAGATATCCCCCAAATGTCAGGACAGTACAGATATCCCCCAAATGTCAGAACAGGACAGATATCCCCCCAAATGTCAGAACAGTACAGATATCCCCCAAATGTCAGGACGGCACAGATATCCCCCAAATGTCAGGACAGTACAGATATCCCCCAAATGTCAGAACAGGACAGATATCCCCCCAAATGTCAGAACAGTACAGATATCCCCCAAATGTCAGAACGGTACAGATATCCCCCAAATGTCAGGACGGTACAGATATCCCCCAAATGTCAGAACGGTACAGATATCCCCCAAATGTCAGAACGGTACAGATATCCCCCAAATGTCAGGACGGTACAGATATCCCCCAAATGTCAGAACAGGACAGATATACCCCCCAAATGTCAGAACAGTACAGATATCCCCCAAATGTCAGGACGGTACAGATATCCCCCAAATGTCAGGACGGCACAAATATCCCCCAAATGTCAGGACAGTACAGATATCCCCCAAATGTCAGGACAGTACAGATATCCCCCAAATGTCAGGACGGCACAGATATCCCCCAAATGTCAGGACAGTACAGATATCCCCCAAATGTCAGAACAGGACAGATATCCCCCCAAATGTCAGAACAGTACAGATATCCCCCAAATGTCAGGACGGCACAGATATCCCCCAAATGTCAGGACAGTACAGATATCCCCCAAATGTCAGGACAGTACAGATATCCCCCAAATGTCAGAACAGGACAGATATCCCCCCAAATGTCAGAACGGTACAGATATCTCCCAAATGTCAGAACAGTACAGATATCCCCCAAATGTCAGGACGGTACAGATATCCCCCAAATGTCAGAACAGGACAGATATCCCCCAAATGTCAGAACAGGACAGATATCCCCCCAAATGTCAGAACAGTACAGATATCCCCCAAATGTCAGGACAGTACAGATATCCCCCAAATGTCAGGACGGTACAGATATCCCCCAAATGTCAGGACGGCACAAATATCCCCCAAATGTCAGGACAGTACAGATATCCCCCAAATGTCAGGACAGTACAGATATCCCCCAAATGTCAGGACGGCACAGATATCCCCCAAATGTCAGGACAGTACAGATATCCCCCAAATGTCAGAACAGGACAGATATCCCCCCAAATGTCAGAACAGTACAGATATCCCCCAAATGTCAGGACGGCACAGATATCCCCCAAATGTCAGGACAGTACAGATATCCCCCAAATGTCAGAACAGGACAGATATCCCCCCAAATGTCAGAACGGTACAGATATCTCCCAAATGTCAGAACAGTACAGATATCCCCCAAATGTCAGGACGGTACAGATATCCCCCAAATGTCAGAACAGGACAGATATCCCCCAAATGTCAGAACAGGACAGATATCCCCCCAAATGTCAGAACAGTACAGATATCCCCCAAATGTCAGGACAGTACAGATATCCCCCAAATGTCAGGACGGTACAGATATCCCCCAAATGTCAGGACGGCACAAATATCCCCCAAATGTCAGGACAGTACAGATATCCCCCAAATGTCAGGACGGCACAGATATCCCCCAAATGTCAGGACAGTACAGATATCCCCCAAATGTCAGGACAGTACAGATATCCCCCAAATGTCAGAACAGTACAGATAACCCCCAAATGTCAGGACAGTACAGATATCCCCCAAATGTCAGGACAGTACAGATATCCCCCAAATGTCAGGACAGTACAGATATCCCCCAAATGTCAGAACAGTACAGATATCCCCCAAATGTCAGAACAGTACAGATATCCCCCAAATGTCAGAACAGTACAGATATCCCCCAAATGTCAGAACAGTACAGATAGCCCCCAAATGACCCCTTTTTTGCAAAGTAGAAAGTCCGACGTATTTCATAGGAGGCATGGCAAGTTTTTTGAAGTTGTAACTTTTTTTGTCATAATTTTTCGGAAAATGAAGAAATTAAAAAAATTATTTTCACAATTTTGTTTTCCATACTGTCACCAGTGCAGTACAGCGTCATCATATAACTGATGTGGCGGTGATCAGGGACACTGACTGGTGACAGTACTAAAAAAAAAAATTATAATTTAAAAAAAAAGTTTATTTTATTTTTTATTAAATTTTTTGCTCTTCTTTTAAGATATTTTTTTTTATATTTCACTATGACCAAAGTAGTATAATGTTACCATAGTAAATATTGTACTACTTTGGGGGAAGTGATCAGTATTTTTTTTTTTTTTTTTTTTTTTTTTTTTTAGACAATTTGATTGCTTATAGCAAAGAATTTCTTTGCTATAAGCTAGCATTTACCTGAAGGAAATCGATTCATTCAGGGTTTTTTTTGTTGTGATTAGCTGTGATTGGCTACGGCTAATCACATGACACAGATGGGCTGTGATTGGTCCTGCCTGGGCATGTGATTACTGACCATTCACAGCTAGACACACTTGTATACAATGGATGGCATGAAAGGAAGCCATTCATTGTATACAACTGTCATGTGACCTGCTGTGATTGGTCACAGCATGTCACATGGTACTGGCAACGGTGTCAGTACACAGATCCGTCATCGGCCATGTCCAAAGGTACAGGGACAGTGACAAATCTCGCCACAGCGCGGCCCTGCGGGCACGTGCAAGGCGCGATCTGGGGAGGGCGTCATATTATTATTATTTATACAGTATTTATAAAGCGCCAATAGTTCGCTCAGCGCTGCACATTACAAAGGGGGACAGAACATGTGACAGAACAATACCAATACAATGCAGAACATGAGGGGATCGAGGGCCCTGCTCTTTGGAGCTTACAATCTAGGAGGGAGGGGATGGTGGCACAGGAGGAGATAGCTGTGGGGGATGGAGTGGTAGGAGGAGTGGAGGAGGTCGGCAAGTTAGCAGGGGTGGGGTAGGCTTCCCTGAAGAGATGGGTTTTCAGGGTGCGCCTAAAGGAGAGGAGAGTAGGTGATAATCTGATGGGTTGGGGCAGGGAGTTCCAGAGGATGGGTGACACCCTGGAGAAGTCCTGGAGGCGGGCATGGGAGGAGGAGACCAGGGAACTAGAGAGAAGGAGGTCTTGTGAGGAGCGGAGTGTGCGTGCTGGGCGGTACTTGGATATTAGGTCGGTGATGTAGTTCGGGGCAGTGTGGTGGACAGCTTTGTACGTCAGCGTTAGGATTTTGAATTTGATCCGTTGGGCAATCGGAAGCCAGTGGAGGGATATGCCTTTATACTGGCTTTTGGACATTTACAAATGCAGCAATTTAATAATTGAATGACAGGTTTTGCACCAGGAAACACTTTTTGATAGGTAAGTAGTGCGTTTCACATGCAACTATATAGAGGAGACCAAAATGAGGAGGAAAGAGGGACAGAGGGACTTTGTTCCAAATCAGAGACAATCCCTCGAAATCAGTGACAGTTGGGGGCTATGGCTGTATCCTCCCCATCTCTTCATTTGGCTGCATTGAAAAGCACACAGATTACACTAGAGCTTCTCCACCTTTACATTATCATACCTGCCAACCGTCCCTGATTTAGAGGAACCGTCCCTGATTTAGAGGAACTGTCCCTGGTACATTTTAAAAAATATTGTTCATAGATTTTGTTACAGAAACGCATTTCAACATATATATGTTGACATGCGTTTTTTACATATTACAAAATATATGAAAAATAGTTTTGAAAATATATATTTTTAAAAATATATTCTTCAGATTTTTTTTTAACAGATACAAAAGTAATTTTAACATATATTTTTTATATATAATTTGTATATATATAAAAATATATATATTATTATAAATATATTTGTGTATATATAAAAATTTAGATCTGTATCTTTAAAGATATACAGTATATTGAAAATGTATTTTCAAAAATATTTTTCATATATTTTCTAATAAAAATGCGTTTCAACATGCAGTATATATATATATTTATTTATTGAAACATATTGAATATGGCCAAAATTGTAGTATTTCCAATATACGTCAATATATTTGGGAAGAATATTTTTAAAATATAATTCAAATATATTTTTCTTCCATGTGGGTAGGAAGTCATGGTGGAGCTTGTAGTCCTCCTGATCCAATGTTGCTTGTCGTTCCCAGTGATTCAAATTCATACATACACATATGTGTATTCATACACGTATGAATATAGCGCCGATGGATATATACATGTAAGGAATGGAGAGAGGCATCCAGAATAGTATCATTCCATTTATTAGTAAAAGCAGACCCTCTGGTATTGCACTGACATGTTTCCAGATACAACAGGCATGAATCTCCAAGCGTACAATAGTAGGTCGCTAGTATTCCACAAAGCTCCTAAGCCGTACTCTCCGCAAATCGCACGACCTCCTGCTCTCTAGCTCCCTGGTCTCCTCCTCCCATGCTCAAGTGATAACACAACTTTTCTCAACTCATAAATAACTAAAATAATAAATCATAATTAGTGTCCTAACCATGTAAATGTCCTCAATAAGTAAATAAATTAATAAAAGTCTTCTATAATAAGTCTCTTTATCCTTCAAAAATAAACGTATGTCTCTTTACTTTATCCCACGTAGGTGTATTCTGGATTTTCGTGTACCTCAAAAAAATAAAACTCAAAATAGTGTATTACCTTTCATATACAGGTGAAACTCGAAAAATTAGAATATGGTGCAAAAGTTCATTTATTTCAGTGCAGCAACTTAAAAGGTGAAACTAATATATGAGATAGACTCATTACATGCAAAGCAAGATAGTTCAAGCTGTGATTTGTCATCATTGTGATGATTATGGCTTACAGCTCATGAAAACCCCAAATCCACAATCTCAGAAAATGAGAATATTGTGAAAAGGTGCAATATTCTCGGCTCAAAGTGTCCCACTCTAATCAGATAATTAAGCCATAACACCTGCAAAGGGTTCCTGAGCCTTTAAATGGTCTCTCAGTCTGGTTCAGTAGGAATCACAATCATGGG